ACGTTGTATCAGCCTCCTCTGACCAAGAGAAGTGCTCAGAGGCCTTGAGTAGTTTGAAGAAAGGTAGCCCCTTTTCGTCGAGGCACGATATAAATTGGCTAAGAGTAGCCATGCACCCTGTGAGCTTCTGTATATCCTTTACGCAGGTTGGCCATTTCATGTTGGTGATGGCGGAGACCTTGTCGGGGTTGGGTTTGATTGAACTCTAAAGATGCACTTTGAAGGGTTCAACTTCCATCTATATCTTTTTAGGTTGGCGAACGTTTCTTCGAGGTCGGCGATAAGATTATCGGCGGTCTTGGACTTGACGACCACATCATCGATGTAAGCTTCAATGTTGTGGCCTATCTATTGATCGAGGCACATCTGGATGGCCCTTTGGTAGGTTGCCCCGGCGTTCTTAAGTTCGAAGGACTTGGTGGTATAGCAATATGCACCGAAAGGCGTGATGAACGACATCTTGATTTGGTCGTCTTCTTTGAGGGATATCTGGTGATAGCCAGAGTAACAGTCGAGGAATGAGAGTAGTGCGTAGCCGGTGGTGGAGTCTACAACCTCGTCTATCCTAGGCAGACTGAAAGGGTCTTTAGGGTAGTGTTTGTTGAGATCAGTGTAATCAACGCACATTATCCATTCTTTATTCTTTTTTGGACAAGAACAGGGTTTGCTAGCCACTCAGGGTGATACACTTCTTTAATAAATCCGGCAGCTAAGAGCCATTTTATTTCTACCCTAATAGCCTCCTTGTCTAGCGCGAATCGTCGGAGTTTTTGCTTGATCGGTTTGGCGGTCGGTGAGACATTCAAGGAGTGCTCGATCTTCTCCCGTGGTACCCCTGGCATGTCTGCAGGTTTCCAAGCAAACACGTCGGCGTTGGCACGTAGAGGTGAGCCCCAATCTTGATGGTCTTAGAAGGGTCATCGAGGCCGAGGCCAACCTCCTTTGTCTCCTTGGACTTGGCGGAGGTGTGAGGAGGCTCCAGCGTTGGGATCTCCAGGTCGTCGGCGGGCACTATCTTGACGTCGGTGACCACGCTAGCCATCTAGATGGAGAGGTCGGTGGCTTCAGCGAGGGTGAGACTCTCTGTCTCACATGCGTAGGCGATGGAGAGGTTGGCCTGCAGGGCTAGAACTCCAGCATGCGAAGGCATCTTCAGCACTAGATAGGCATAGTGCGGTATGGCCATGAACTTGGCCAGAGCTGGCCAACCAAGTATGGCGTGGTAGGCGTTGTTGAAGTCGACGACGTAGAAGTTGATGTGCTCGACGCGGTAGTTTCTAGCCGTGCCGAATTGTACTAGGAGGGTGATCTCTCCAAGCGGTTTGGATGCCCTACCAGGTACCACACCCTAGAAGGAGGAATCAGAGGGTGTGAGGCCTCCTGTTCCAAGGCCTAGCTCCTTTAGGGCTCCGGCGAAGAGGAGGTTCAGAGCACTTCCGTCGTCGATGAGTACTTTCCTGAAAAGCACTTTCTGGACGGTTGCGTCAAGAACGAGGGGGAAACGCCCTGTATAGGGGATGTCCGCCCACTAGTCGGCCCTGCTGAAGGTGATGGGGACCTCAGACCAGGGGTGATAGCTGGGGTTGGCGATGGCATTTTCTGCGTTGACGGCGAGCACCCAGCAGGCCGTGGGCTTCCAATCTATTCTGCTCTCGGTGGCGACGAGGCCCTCGAAGATAGTGGCAACCACTTTGTTGTGATCCTCGAAGGCGTTGTTGTTGTCCCCGGGTGGTCGGTGGCCTCTTGCATTGTCGTTGTTGTCATCGTCCGGCTTTTCGGCCTGGAACTCCTTAGTCAAGTCGAGACATTCCTTCATCTTGTGCTTGATGTTCTTGTGGAGGGGGCAGGGGCCTTCGAGGATCTTCAAATACTGCTCGTCGTAGTTGCGCTTGGCACGAGGTTCGTCAACAGTGGCGACGATGTGGTTTGGTCGGCGGTGGTGATATTGACCAGATTTGGACCCTTCCGGCCGATCATGGCCACTGTCCTGACGGTGGCCGCGGTCATCATAGCGGCAGTCGCTGTGGCGTCGGTCATCGGGATGTGAGTGCCCGCACCATCGTTGAAGCGCACTTCGGCCTCTTTGGCGTCAGCGTACTAATCGGCGGTCGTGATCATCTCGCTAATTCCCTTTGACGGCTTGTGATTGAACTTGGAGCGAAGGTCGCGATGATGGAGTCCTCGGACAAAGGCAGTGATGACCTCTACTTCCGTGATGTTGGGAATAGAATTCCTCATCTCAGAAAAGCGTCTAATATAGCTACGAAGGAGCTCAAATGGCTTCTGGTAGATGCAGTTCAGATCGTGCTTGGTGCCCAGCCGAGTACACGTAGCCATGTAGTTGTCAGTGAAGACCTTCTTCAGCTCTTCCCAGGATCCGATGGAGTCTAGGGCGAGGCTTGTGAACCAGTTCATCGCAGTTGGCATGAGCATGAAGAGAAGATAGTTCGCCATGACGCTGGTATCTCCCCGGGCGGTGCGCACAGCAGTGGCATAAGCTTGTAGCCACTGTTTGGGGTTCATCCATCCCACGTAGGGCTTGACCCCGGTGATTTTGAAACCACGGGGCCACTGGAGTGTTCGGAGTGCCCTCGTGAATGCTCGGGGCCCTTTGGGATCATCACCGTCGTGATCTGTGGCATTGCCAGTGTTGAGTGGCTAGAGGGCTGAGTCTGGATTACCGAACTCACGCTCGTATTCTTGATGCCGGCGCACTTCTTCATGGCGAGAGAAACGGCACCCGTCGATATGACGTCGTGCGTCTCAGAGATTGTTGATGTGCGCACGGATGTCTTGGTCGACTTCTTGGTCACGTTGGCGAGACTAGATGATGCGGTTCCCCCGAGCTCCCTCCTGGAGGGGTTGTCCGTCATCACGGCGCTGGTCAGCGAAATGGCTTCTTCTGGAGCGGCGATTAGATCTTGGCGCGGCGGATCGGCAAATCGACCTCGTGGAGTAAGGTCTCTAATCCTGGTGGATCTTATTGACCTGGCAGTATGCGGCTTTGAGCATTGCGGTGACCTTGGCGACTTCTGGCATTTGCTCGAGCCAGGCAAGCTCATTGGCGGCCACGGCCAAGTTGGCGCTTGGGGTCTTGTAGACATCGTGGTCGTCGACACGGATGAACTCGTCGTCGAGGTTGCATTGGAGTGGGCGCGACCTTCCTTGTGAGTCGAGCTCTTCATTGTGAGCAGCCTCGGCTAGCATAAGGGCAGCCTCATTTGCTCGGCGCTGCGCACGGTTGGCGTTCCTATTAACGCGAGCGGCGCGGTCCTCCTCGATCTCTCCATCTCGTGGAGGGCTATCGACGCTGATGTTAAAAACCCTGCCTCCTCGGAAGGGCGGGAAAGGAGGTTGTACGGCGGTTGTCTCGGCGACAGTCTTCGTAGAGCCCTAGGACTCGGAGTCTGGATTCTCCTTTAGGATGGTTTGGAGGGATGCTTCGAGGCATCAGCCGATCTGCAGCATGTTGACAGCCGGTGAGAGCTGGTCGGCGATTGCGTCGGTGAGAGAATAGATGTCCCCCACCTGGTCGGCGAATTTGCCCCTTAGGGCATCTTGATAGGTGGCGGCGATACTGGTGAGCCCAAAGGGTAGAGCCATGACCCCTAGAGTCTCATGATCGGCCTCTGATAGATCGTAATTGGAGGGTGGTCGGCGCTGAACCAGAGTGGTCAGAGCTGATTCGGCGATGGAGAGGCAGTCGGCGAGCTTCTGGCCAACCTGATCGATGGATGCGATCAGATCATCATTGCTGATCTGCTTCCTCGGGTAGTGGGGAAGCAGGTGGCGGGTTGTTGGTGAAGACAACCTCGGAGGTGGTTCCGAGATTGGATTTGCAGTCATAGTGTTAGGGTGGTCGGTGCAGAATCGATCTGCACTAGCTCGATGAGCTCTCCGTCTCCATCAGCATTGATGACCCAGGAGATTCATCTGACCGTGAAGATCTGGCCAGGCTGTGGGAGGGATGAAGAGCCTGCAAAATCTACCATCTTGTTCGACATGGAAATAGCACACAAACCCTATCTGGCACACCAGCTGTCGACAAAATATCGTTGGCAGTTCTCCGAGGGGTATCCCACGAAGGTAGATTTACCGGCAGAGATGCGTGTAATCGAGAACAAGAAGGCAACGGAGACACAAGATTTTAAATTTTAGATTCAAACTCATTTTGCAAAAATTCATACGAAAATAACAAATTTCATTTTTGTTATTTTCATATGATTTTTTGCAAAACGAGTTTGAATCTAAAATTTTGTGACAGTGCACATCTATAGATGTACTATTGGTGAGCATAGTTTTAATTTTTTTGAAAACTCCTAAGTATGGTTTTGCAAAGGGTTTTCACGATTGCACCGAAGATGTGGTTTGCACTGAATATTTTGCCCACTCCCTCAGCCTCTCACTCACTCAGAAGTCAGTAGAACACACGCACTCTTCTCACCTCTCCCGTCCAGCTGCAGCAGCCGCCTCCATTGCTGTAGCTCCCTCTCCTCCTCTCCTCCCTTCTGGTTCCCAACTGCTCCACCCTCCCTTCCAGCTGCCCTCCCTCTCTTGTGGCTGCTGCTGCTGCAGGCGCACAGGTCTACACAGTGGGTGCGCAGGTGGAAGTGTACATGCCTAAGGCCGATGTTCAAGGAGAAGTTGGTTCTGCTCCAGCCTCTTCAGTTGCATCAGGCTCAGCGGCTGCTGGTTCAGCATCCTCAACTGCTCCAGATGTTTCATCTCTTGTTGAGAAGGCCCTAGCAAAACTATATAATATATATATGGTATAAATCAGTCCCCATATGTAGGGGGCGATCGGGACGACCAGGGGGACTCGTCCAGGGTCGATTAATCATCCTGGACGACGAGTAATCGTCCTGGATGTCCTGGACGGTCCCCAGACGACCAGGCTCAACCAGCCGTCCTGATAACATTGCACCAGTCACTAATTCTTGATAACATTATGACAGGAAACTGACATTCTAGAGCTCACAATCCCCAGTGGACGAAAGTACTTATTCCATCTTCAAAACAGGTTTCTTTTGATGCCTGGCAAGTTGTTCCTCCACATCTTTTTTGAGTTTGTCATCATGGGAACCCTTAATCTGGACTTCCTTGAGTTCATATTTAGACAGTTTTTCTAGCCCAGAGAACTTCATTACCGACCCTGAACCACTACAGCAGGAAACTTTCAACAGCTCAAGATTGTGCAGTGCTTGTGATCCAAAAGTCACATCTAAGCTGGAGCTGCAAGAAATCTCGAGTACCTTCACTGTTTCATAGCAGCGTAATTGCTGTCCATGCAACATGACACAAAAATTGAGCTTACCATCAGGAAGCTGCTTGGCAATGAGACATAGAATAGATACTTTAAGATCCCTGAGTCCACTGATAGTATCTTCGGTTAATATAGTCATCTCCAAAACTAACTTCCTGAGATTGTCAAGCTCATTGATCCACTCTGGAAACTTGTCTGCAAGGCCATACAGTTTAAAGCTCTGTAGGTTCTGGGGGGGAAGATACCCATCTGGGGTGACATACAAGCAGTCCTGATTGTCCTTCTTGAGCCTAACTGATAAGGATTCTAAATGCGCATGACTTGAGATGGCCACACAGAAATCTTTGCTGTTGTTCTTACTGATTCCAGACACTCCAAGCTTGCGCAATTGGGTGAGCTTCCTGGCCCTCCCCCAAGCAGAATCGACATTAACAACACCGATGGTGAGCAATGCAGTCATTCTCTCTATCCCAGTAGGAACCTCAACACCCTCTAGTTGTCGACGTCTGCTGAACAAAGATGATGTCCATGATACAGAGGTATGTGGGGTTGGTTGTTTCTTTGTTGGTTTGGTTGTACCAGCAGCATCGGGTATTGGTTGTTCCTCAGTTGGTTTGGTGGTACTAGCACGAAGGTACTGCAGTTTCTTTAGCTTGGTGATGGTTGTTGGCATGGTTGCTATGGATGTATGTCTGACATCCAGAGTCTCAAGCTGCCTCAAACAACCCAATGAATTCGGCAGCCTACAGATCTCAGTGCATCTTCGTAGGGAAAGATACTTGAGGCGACAAAGCAGCTTCATCATTTGTTTGAGATCTTCATCTTTTAAACCGGATGCATCCTCAAGATCCAGAACCCGAAGTAACCTCATCCTATCAGAGATGAAGAATGACCTCCATTCTCCAAACACTGTCAAAGACCGTAGCCGTGAGAAGTCAATGCTCTCAAACACAATTATGTCTGTCCCAGCTTTCCAGTATGATGAGGTGACGCCCTGTGCGTTGAGAGGTTAGGGTGCAACTGCCTCCCAGTTCGAAGACAAGGTTCTCTTCCATTTGACGTGATATGATATACTCTCAGACAAAACTGTTGACTTGGCACAGGTCATTCTTCTGTCGCTGAATGCGGTGGTGACTGAATGTGGTTTCTGCATTATTATGCTCAGATCGAGGAGCCCACAGAAGAACTGCTCCCCTCTCTCCTCCGCAAACATTTTGTCAGTGTCCCTGGCATAGCCCTCTGCAATCCACCGTCTCACCAAACGCCTTCTCCGGATACTGTGATCTCGAGGAAAAATTGACAGATAGAAGATACATGGCTTGAGGAAATCCGGGCAAGTTCGAAAGTAGGAGTGCAGCCAACCAAAGAGTGGCCGCAGGCAAGCAAACTCTGGGCTGCTCTCCAGTTCTTGCATAAATTTGAGATTCATAGAACTCGCACTATTCATCCATGTGACTGTTTTAGGTGCCAAAAAAATGGCTACAGCAACTATCACTTTGGGAAGACCACCGCACTTCAAAATAAGTTCTTGTAGCTCTTCATCTTTGGAGTCCTTTATAGGAGAAGATGGTTTTTGCTTATGTACCTAAAATTCAATTGAAGGACAAACGTTTTCAGCATGCTAAGCAAAATGCATTAGCTGTTTCATTCACAAAATGTATGCACATGGTGAACATACACTTCATACTGCAACTTGATATATGCATTAAGGGCCTGTTTGCTTAGCACCCTGAAAATCAGCCAGGCACACGATTTCGTCTGCCTGCAGTCTAGATTGCCTGGGTGCAAAGCTGCATGGGAGGCAGCATCCAAACAGGCCCTAAAATATAACAGAACAATGGAAATATACATAACTGAAATTGTTCATTAATTTTTTTTCTCGAACACGCAGGAGAGCTGTGTATCTTTATAAATTAGAGAGAAAAAAAGGGAGAGACTCCCATACAAAGCAACCTCTCCACCACACTTAGGAGATATGAACAGGTTGCAAGATGAAACAAAAATGTTCATTCATAATTGTCTTAACTGCAAATGCAAAATGAAGTGGAAGGAAAGCACAAAGATATTATTACTTTACTATTAGCGCCTTGCTTTAACAAAAACATTTTTTTTGGTGTCTAGCAAAAATGTAATACAACGGTAGAATTTTCCATAAAAATATATCATTTGCTCCCTATTACCATAAAAATATATCATCTGCCCTTAAAATATTTTATGTTCGATGTAAATGTCATTTTAGATGAATTCCATGTATACATATTGATCCTGAATTGCTGATAAAAAGACATATTAGCCAAATTTCTCTTATGGGAATAATGGCACCAACAAACATAGGAATACAATATCTAAAGCTAATATTAACATCTATAAATGTAATATTGGCCAAAATTTAATATTGACAGCTCTGATCATGCAGAGTCTGCCATGCAACTTTTTTATAAATTTGAGATTTTAGGGCAAATTGGAGAAATGGTGAGAGGCTGCCGCAATCACTAGGCAACAGGCCCCTTCGCTTTTTCTGAATAAGCATACCTGCTTTTTGAAGAGCTCGAGGGCTGCTTTGTCTTCTAGACCTTTGACATTAAATATGACCCCTTCATTATCTGCACAATGTGCGGCGATGCTTGCTTCAGTTGTAATGACAATGATAATACTACTAGACGGTCTAGACACCAAGGCAGCCTGTATTAAGTCCCATTCTTCCATGGACTCCAGATCATCAATAACAACAAGGCACCGGTTATCTTTTAGAATCTTATGACACTCTTGAGTAGGGTCTTTAATTCCCATCGCTTCAACGGGTTGTGAATGAAAATCCAAAAGCAAACTCCGGGAGAAGTCCCTTAAATTGAATGGGTGGGTTACATCGACCCAACCATACCTGTCAAATAATGAGTCATTTCGATGAATTCTGTCATAGTACATGTTCCTAACCAGGGCTGATTTCCCAACACCAGATATCCCCCACACAGACAGCACTTGCAAACCATTGAGACGTGCCTTAGCAATATAGTTACCAAGTTGGTTCATTTCTGACTTGCGTTCAACAAGGTGAAAATTCTCCACCCAATCACAGGCAGCCTTCCATTTAGATGTTGGAATTCTGTAGTAGGGCAGAAAGCCAGTACCATGGGTTGCTTCATCCTCCATTGATATTTCATTGCTGTTGTCTACCACTCTATCAGATTCCATGCTTTTATCACCATCACCTTGCAAACTCTGAAACAAAAAATAGGTACAGAACTATATAATAGAGTTAAAAACCAAGAGAAGGGGATTTGCAGAGAGATGCAACAGGAAAAGAGCAGCAACGATGTTTCTGTGCTGAAGTCCTACATATTAATGGGATACTTTAGGAGGGGAAATCTAAGGTTGAAAGCATATGTGCAAGTTCTAAAGTTTTTCTTTTTCCCAAAAGATTACAATATGTAGTTAAGATGAGATGCTTCTACCATACTATTTCGCTTGCAAGATATGGAACCGACTTCATAGGCAAGCTGGTTTCAGGTGACCAGATCTACACCAAACATGAAGACAAAGCAAGATTGTTAGATGAATTCTATGAGGGCTTGCTTGGGACAAGCTTGGACAGAGCGCGTACTATCAACCTTGATGCGCTTGGGATCCTCTCCCATGATTTGGCTGATCTTGAGCTCCCTTTTACTGAAGAAGAGGTGTGGAAAACAATCAAGCAGCTGCCTCCGGACAAAGCGCCCGGTCCAGATGGTTTTACTGGCAGATTTTACAAGGCTTGCTGGCCGGTTATAAAGAAAGATATTATGGCTGCAGTTTCTGCTGTATGGAGTAGGAGATTTGCTGGTTTTGAGGTGCTTAATGCAGCTTACATCACTCTTCTACCTAAAAAGGAGGAAGCTGAGCAACCACAAGACTTTCGGCCTATCAGCTTGGTACATAGTTTTGCTAAGTTGATCACTAAAATGTTGGCGAATCGACTTGCATGTCGGCTGCAGCAGATGGTATCTCCCAATCAAAGTGCTTTTATGAAAGGGCGTTTCATACAGGACAACTTCATGCTAATTCAGCAAACGGCAAGATTTCTCAATCAACAAAAGCAGCCCAAAATCCTTCTAAAATTAGACATCTCAAAGGCCTTTGATTCAGTTTCTTGGCCCTTTTTGCTTGAGGTTCTGCAGCACTTAGGCTTTGGCCAAATCTGGAGGGACATAATCAGCGGGTTACTCTCCTCCTCTTCTACTCAAGTAGTTTTGAATGGGATACCTGGGGAGCGTATTTCTCACCGGAGAGGACTAAGGCAAGGTGACCCGTTATCACCCATGCTTTTTATTCTTGTTATGGATGTGTTGGGACATATGGTAGCCAAGGCAGCCGCTGATGTTTTGTTGCAGCCACTATCATCTCGTGCTCTTCAACATCGTATATCTCTCTATGCCGATGATGTGGTTCTGTTTCTCCGGCCGGAGGCAACGGATATTGCTGTCATAATGAACATCCTCCAACTTTTTGGTGATGCTTCAGGTCTCAAAACCAATTTGCAGAAAAGCAATGTGTTACCAATCAGGTGTGGGCATACAGAACTGGCCTTGGTACAGGAACTTCTCCCCTGTGCGCTCATGGATTTTCCCTGCAAATATTTGGGGTTGCCTCTCTCTCTCAAGAAGTTAACTAAGGAACGCTATGCAGCACGGATACGGATACGCGTATCGGTATCGGAAGGATACGGATACGCGGATACGGCAATTTCCTCAAAAACCCGATACGCGGATACGTTTTACTATTTTTTAAATAAAAATAGATAATAGCGCATATTAAAATTGTGAAAGACTGAAAGAGTGCTGACAGTATTAAGCTATCAGCAACAACGCAACATCATTAACTGTTACACCAGTGCTGCATTATGCTCAGTCAGCAAGTTGTAATTTGGTCGCATAGGCGCCTAATCAGTCAGCACTCAGCAAGATAAAAGCTGAGTGAGCATTGAAGCAATTCTGATCAAACAGATCCACAGCTTCAGGGCAGCACATAACATGTACGTTGAATTATCGATGACAGGGCGCATAACTAACTACGAAAGTACAATATGCAATCGAAGGCAAACAAATTATAACTCATTAATGGAAGAAAAACACCCACCCACCCACACACAATACAGTCAACACAAATGTCCTAAACCCCAAATGTACAAGACTTTTTCCTTAGCAAGAGCTCTACATTCCTATGCATCACAACTCGAAGCATGAGGAAGCACCACAGCCCATCTGCTACTCAAAATTCAAAACCCATGAGCTGTTAAGCTTTCCTCCCAAAGTCCCAGCATGCCCATTTACCAGCACTCCCACATCGAGCAATACTGCTCTAAGCCGTAACCATCCTCTAAACGCATCCTCGACTGTCGAACACTGGGAACTCTCTCATCGCATCAGCCCCAACCGAACCTCACATTAGAACAAGCCCCGAGCAAGGAGCCGGCGCCACCAACCCAGCAGCGTGAGATCCGACCGATGAGGCGGTCCAGATCCGACGCGACTCGAGCGATCTAACCGGGATGGGCGCGAGCAGGGACTTGGATCCGTGGCAGGGAGAGGCCGCGTGGTAGGGTCGTGGGCACGCACCTTGTGGTCGGACTCGGAGGCGGAGGCGAGCGGAGGCGGAGGTTCGTCGCTGGCGGCCGGCGAGTAGGGACGGAGGCTCGTCGCTGGCGAGCGGAGGCGGAGGCGGAGGCTCGTCGCCGGTGGCCGGCGGCCGGTGAGCGGGATTGCGGCGCGATGCGCGGGCGCAGCCGTGAGCTTGTCGCCGTGCGGGACTGCGGGAATGCGCCGATGCGGATTGCAGGCGTCGGGGCAGAGGATAAGGTACGTCTTCTGGGCTTCTGGGCTGGGCCGTATCTGGACGACGAATATGTGTCCGGTGCGTATCCGAATATTACAAAAATAATAAAAAACCGGATACTCGGTGGATACGTATCCTAGGCGTATCGGACACGTATCCGTATCCGATACGTATCGGATACGCGATACGCATCTTCAGGGAAGTATCCGTGTAACATAGAAGGAACAAATCCAACCTATTATAGATAGAATAGCTGATCGGCTTCCGGGATGGAAAGCAGACCTCATGACACGGCGGGGCGACGGGATTGGGTGCGGTTTGTCCTCACAGCCCATGCTTATTTATTTGGCAATGGCAGTTGATTTCCCACCATGGGCAATTAAAGCCGTGGACAAACTGCGGAGAAGTTTTCTTTGGAGGGGCCGCAAAGATGCTCGTGGAGGACACTGTCTTGTGGCTTGGGGAAAGGTTACCCGTCCACTTGAACTAGGTGGGCTTGGCATTTCAGACCTCAAGCATCTTTGTTGGGCACTAAGGATGAGATGGGTTTGGTTGAAAAAAACTGAACCTCATCGCCCATGGGCAGCCCTTCCTATTCGTATCCCGGGCCAAGTTTATGCCTTCTTCTCGATAGCCGTTATATCGGAAGTGGGCAATGGGAATCACACTTTGTTACGGACTGATCGTTGGATCCATGGACGATGTATCGCTGACCTTGCACCGAGACTACTCAAGCCATCCCGAAGAGAAGGGTGAAGCAACGACGCAATTGGGTTTTGGATATTAAGGGAGCCCGCACCGTAGGTGTTATTGTCGACTTCCTCCATCTCCGGAATTGTTTGTACAATTTTGAGTTAGAGCCCGATGTTGAAGATGTCCACATATGGCGTTTCTCTGCAGTGGGAAATACTCAAATAAGTCTCGCCTATGAGGGTTTCTTCCAGGATCTACCGAGTTTGGTCCATACGAGAGGATTTGGAGAACCTGGGCACCGCCCAAATGTCGCTTTTTCTCCGGGTTGGTGGCCCACAATCGGTCGGTGCCGGATAGCAGATCGCCTTTGCGTGTCGTGGGCTGCCTCATCCTGCAAAGTGTCCTCTCTGTGATCGGAAGGATGAGACTATCAACCACCTCCTAGTCTCCTGTGTCTTTGCTAGACAATTTTGGTATCTCCTTTTGAGACAGTCGGCCTACACTCCTTGTCACCACACCCTTGATTCTTCCTTTGATATATGGTGGGAAAAGGCTATTCGAGCAACAAGTGGATTAATGCAAAAGGTCTCAACTCTCTTATTGTGCTTGGTGCTTGGACTCTTTGGAATCACCGAATCGCTATGCTTTTTATGGAATTACCCCCAACCTTGGAGAGCTCTCTCCTTGGCCGGAGAAAGAGCGCCGGTTGTGGAGTGTAGCAGAGCCAAGGGCATCCTCCTTGACAACCCCTCTCTTTGGTAGTTAGCTTAGTGATAGTGTTTGGTCGCCTTTTGTCCTTGTCAGGCGCGAATGTTATTTGTGTGGGGTTGTGTGTGGTGTGTGTTGTAGGGCTCTAGCCCCTTTCTTTCTTCTTAATATAATGATGCGCAGCTCTCCTGCGTTTTCGAAAAAAAAAAGATATGGAACCGATGAGCAGCAAATGAATACTCCGTCCTCAAAAGAGTGCTTTTCGAGTTGTTATACAATCAGTTTGACCAAATCTATATAAAAGAAACTAAGATTTATGATACCAAATAAGTATCATTAGATTAATCATGTAATATATTTTCATAGTAAACCCATCTGGAGACAAAAATGTTGATACTATTTTATATAAACTTAGTGAAACTCTTAATTCAAATCTAGATTTGCACTCTTTTTGGGATGGAGGAAGTCGTGATAAAAACAGATAAGCAATATTAATGATAAACTTCATCCCTTCCAACTGAAATAGTTTAACCTTAAACACTAACATTCTTGCAGTTAACTGATGATGTTAAAGGTTTACCTCCTTCAAAAAGACACATATAGAGTGCTGCGCAGAGTACTGCTTCAGCTCCGATACTTGGTATGAACGTCCAATGCACAAGCTTGCAATTTCACACTGCTGTGTGGATACAATGACCCAACTGCCATTCATTCTGTCTGGCAGGTACGTCCTGATGGTGTCCCAATCTCCGATTGTGGACACATTTTCCAGGACAACTAGGTATCTGTTCTCATTTACTTTGTCCATAAATGGCTCAATGAGTCCACCTTCCATTGTCGCCATTACCTCAATCCTCTTCAGTTCATTCACATTTATAACGATTCCTTTTTGCAGGCAACTGTTTGTGTAGAACTGAGTCACCATACTACGGAGGAACTCATGGGGATTGAAAGGATGTGTAAGCTTCACCCAGCCGCGGCATTCAAATTTTCGACAGAGTTCTGGATCCTGGTAGGCCTTTCTGATGATTGATGTTGTACCAAGTTCACTACCTGTTCCCCAAACTGAGATTACCCCAAGGTCAGCTTGTTCCTTTGTGAGTAGCTGGGCGAGGTCCCCTAAGCCTTGCTGTTTTTTTGCGGTGTCCCTCGCCTCAACCAGCATGTCAAGTGCCATTGGGCCAAAAGCTGTGTTGGGTGCCATCTGTTGCTGCATGATGGGCTTGGATCCAGAGTCGCTGATGAGGTTGTAGCGTGAGTTCCTTCGACTCACATCCTCAACCCTAACCTTGAGCCGCTCTATCTCAGTTACCGCCTCATCTAAGGGCAATGCTGATGCTGCCAAGCAAAGTGGAAGCATGCGGCGCCACCACCTTGGCTTGTTGTCCAGGTGGATGACAAACTCTATGCAGTCCTCCACATCATATGCCAGATCAGGAACCTGCCTCACCCAGGTCCTCACAACGTTGTTCTTGACACGCTCCTCATTGGCAACGTTGAGGAAGGAGTGCATCATCTCAAACTCACCAGCAATGAATACAAGGTTGTGCTGCACACTTTGCTGCAATTTTGCCTCCTCCTCAATCGCTGACTGAGCCTTGGTCAGGGCCCCCTCCACCACTGTCTTGGCCAAGCCAACCACAAGGTCTGCCATTGCTCTTACAGTCTCTGATTCACTCCTTAGTGATAATAGCTAGCTAGGAATTGTCTGAGCACCTACGGATGGAGCTGTTAGTCAGCTATAAAAAAGCTAAATTGGACTTTGTTTAACAAGACTCTGCAAGAGTCCGATTCGAAGAAAAAAAAAGAGTTTACCTGTACCTCGTGTAAAGGATGTCCCTCGCAGATAAACAGATCTGCACTGATGCTAATAACGTTATCATCTACATCTGCTTCAAAAAGGAAATTTTACATTAATACAATAGAGACAGATTGATTGGCATATTTTGTAATGTGGGGGCAAAATGATCGCTTAAGTGCAAGACAACAGGTATGCATGAGGAAGAAAGATCAAAACAAACTTTTTAGAAGGGCAACTTGGTGGTAGATAAGCACATACTCACCACTTAAACAAAGTGAAAACGTGTTACTGATTAAGATCTATTTGTGAATTAGTTTGCTGTGAACCGAACACTTGGGTTGGGCCCTTCAAATGAGTTGGATCTGGTTGAAAAAAACTGAGCCTGATCGACCTTGGGCAGCCTTCCCCATACAGGTTGATTCTTCAGTTAGGGCTTTCTTCTCATTGGCCATCATCTCAGAAGTTGGGAATGGAAAGAACACCCTTTTTGGACTAATAATTGGCCGCATGGTCAGTGTGTATCTCCCTGACTTGTTTGGACTGTTTTCTTAAAGGTAAACAAAGCAAAGAACAGTTTGAGATGCTTTGGCTGAAATGAGTTGGATTCCAAGGTGCAGTCACTGTTATGATCATTGCTAAATTTCTTGATTTATGGGACCTCTCAGAGGTGGAGCTGCAGCCCGAGGTCGAAGACTCCCCACTTATTTGGAAAAGTTGGGCGTCTGGCAAATGCAAATTCTTCATGTGGTTGGTCACTGATTATAGGTGGTGGACTGCAGATCGTCTTGCTACAAGGGGGTTACCTCATGAACGTTGCCAGTTATGTGATCAGGAGGAAGAAACAATTGACCACTTGCTTGTTTCATGTGTTTTCACTCGGCAAGCACCTTTCTGTCCTCTTTAGGACTCCAAGGCTGACTCCATCCTGCTGTTCTCTTCTTTCCCTCTCTTTCTGTACAGTTGTACAGCCTGTAGACTGTAGTCCTTTCCCTTTCCTATCTCCCTTTCTCTCTGTACAGTTTATTTTATTTGAATTTATATACCAACAGTGGGGGCTTCCCCTGCTGTATTTATGGATCAAAAAGTGTGGTCTCCTGCAGCAAGTGAGTTTGCAAGCCTTAACCTCCCAGCCCAATGAGATTTCCTTTGATAATTGATGCGCAACAACAAATGATAGATTGAGTGGTCCAGTTTGAAAAGGGCCAAATTCCATCATCATCTTAGGAGCATGGGCAATCTGGGATCACCGCAATGGCTGTGTTTTTATGGGATTTTGCCAAGCTTCAATGAGGTCTTGTGTTCTTTATGGATGAGTTACACCTTTGGTGTTTGGCTGGCTCGAGGGGTCTCTATCTCCTTGTGACCTTGCCCTTGAGCCAAAAGACAATTGATGGATGGTTGAGCTCACCTATAGTGTTTTGCGTTAGTGGCGAGCATGTAAAAGTTTTTGGGGTGTGTGTCAGGCTGTTTGGTGTACGGGTTAAAAACCCTTTTCATCTTCTTAATATAATAATACACAGCTCTCCTATGTGTTCGAGAAAAAAAAAGTGAACCACACAGTCACTGAGATGGCGAATGCCCAACAGAGTCCAGTTCATTACCTGCCCATCAAAAACTACGTGGGCAGTGCTGGATTTTGGTTGGGTATGATTTGTAATTTCGGAGGAAGCAACAAATCCAAACTCAAGGGTGCAGACAGAGTGCAGTGAAGGAGCAGCAACCCTGCAGTAGCAGGGTTTAGTGACGCTAGCGAGGTGCAAATGCTGCAGTTGTGCTGGGGCACCAGAGACAGGGACGGCACGTGCACAGCAAGCGGGCGCGAAATCAACCAAACAGAGCACACAGTCTTCCACTAGGTAATTCTGTCGAGCACACACCGTGCATCTACTACTGGCTGCGGCCCACAGAACAGTACGGAGAAGAGGGCCTGCTAGGGTCCTCCAGAAGCCGTTGTGCCGAGCTTGAGATCGGCCTATCGATGCCGGATGGCGACGTGCGCGGTGGCCGCCAATTTGCAAGCGCAGCAATGGTTTGTGGCCGAGTTCAGGGGTGATTTGACTAGCTGGTCCCCTATTGATTAATTTGTCCTCCACAGACTGATAGGAGGGAGAAGAGAACAAGGATTCTTTGTTCAGCACGAGAGGAGACATGTATAATCCAGATCCGTCCGTGAGCATCTAATCCAAAACTATACGACCCAAAAAAAAATCTGGAAGCAAGCAGCAGCGATGTACCTTGAGATCGGACATGGCATGGGAGACGACGTTGACTGCGTCGGCCACACGGACTGGGAACACGAGGGGGGCCGCGCCGGTAATGCGAACGCGGCAGGTGGACGCCGATACGCCGTGACTGGGAGGTGATTTGCGCCAGGAACGATGCCGCGCAGGGGAGAACAGGGGGAGGGGGACGACTTGACTCACCAGTCAACGGCATGAACAGTGAACTACGCATCGACTGACTCCACATCATCTCTCGCTCTCTAAAAATCCTCAGAGTCATTTCAATAAAAAAAATTTCTAAATATTCTGCGCACTCTGGAAATATGTTTGGTAGATATTCAGATTCTTACACAAACATTTTGGATCTAGATTCTGATTTACGAAATAGAGTTGCTTAATAATTAATTAATTAGCTTTAGTATAAGCTTCACCTTATGTTTGCAACATGTTTTCGATGTTGTTTGTGCCATATGTGAACTAAGTGAAGGGTTACTCATCTCTATTTTGTAGTGGTTATATGCTTAACATGTTGCTTTGTCCTGCACTTGTATGTTTAAATGTGAATATGGCTAGTTTGATAATTTGTGTTATGATTGTTATTAACTACCAACACTTATGCCACACTTTAACTTGTTGTGAAGTCTCGATGAGAGAGTATGAGAGTGGACGTAAGAATGATTAGTTACCCTAGTTCACCCGACGATGTGTTGCTTTGTCTTTTCGCGTTTTGTAAACATCTTTGTTGTGATTGTTTCACTTAAGCATGCATTGCATTCATGCATATCATTAGGTACAATGGTGGTTGACGGGCCACTTGATGGACTACGAGGTCAATCCACAAGACGGTGTAACAGTGTTCAAGTCCAAAAGATGGAGATGGTTGGATAATGTCCCGAAGATTGAAGAATACCAACATTAACATAAGTATAAGGATGAGTTACCTAGGCAAGTCCTAGTGCATAACTCCTATTTTTCAAGCACATATTAGTTGATGATGTGCATTAAGTTGCAAGAGTTGATTGGAAATCACCTGCATAAATATCCTATCCTATGAATCTAGCTAGTATGATATGATCGTGTAGTATGTCATGCCATAGGACTTACAGTAGGCTTGGCGGTGTGTTTTTTAACCGATTGTTGTATCTGATTAACAGTTTAACACAGACCCTTGAAACAGAGCAGATGGGGGGTGTCCGCCTCTAAAATACTATTTGACCGGCTCTATTAATAGTTCTTTTAGTAGTGTTATTGCGCCTATTTTCTGGATGATAGTCGATGTGCTTGTCAATAGCAAGAGTGCAAGGCACTTGTGTTCACTTCATCAACCTTAGGATTTGTGGTGACTTCATCAATATTTTAGGTGGATAGGATGATTAGGATGTGCATGCCTAAAATTCAATGGGTGTGCATTGAAACTTAACTACTCCCCCAGGTTCGACAACGGTCTCTGGACATCTACCATCGATCATAAAACTGGGACTGGTCTATTGATGGTAGTAGATAACTGGGAGGGAAGAGAGGTCAGATGAGCTGGTGGAAACAGGAGAACGTTGATGTCAGAATAAATCTATTGTCGTCGAACTGCAGCTCAGGTTTCTTTATTTTATTCTGAGCTTGTACGTCCAAATTTTGGAATCCTGCAAATATTTTCTTAAGTCCACTACGAAAAAAACAATAGATGAGAAGGGAAATTTATTTTAAAGATGAGATCAACAGAGACAACAATGCTTCAATACAATGTCACATCTCGAATTGAAAGAAAGATAACTGGAGAGGCAGTTATTGACTTATTTGTTGCCAGAAAGATAGATTTCGAAAGGATCCTAGTTTCAAAGAAAATTGATGTCATATATATTGATGCTGGAGCAGGTTTTACTTCTTCTTGGATACCGATTTCTCCTTGGAAGGATCATGCTTCATGCATGCTGGGAAGGGGAGACCTGAAATTTCATATAGGATATTAGCACCCCAGAAAGATAGCATAAACTGTGGTTCTACCGATGTTAGGATATTTAAGTAAAAGCCTTAGTTAAATTAATAAAAAAATTTGATGGCAGCAAGTTACAAAATGAACGCTGATATAGTTTGGTCCCTAAAGAAAGGAATGCTATTGCGCTTGACAAAAGAGATGAAAGCATTTAGTCATTGAGTTTAACATGTGTCTCCGCTTCTATACAAATTCTCAGTGTAACCAACGAAGTTCGGGTTGTTTGAGTTGTGAGCCTTTGCAACAATAAAAACAAAGAAACTTTTCTTGAATATAAACATATATAACAGAACATAACGGAATTAGGTGATTGAACAGAGACCATGGGTGTAACGATGTCTCAAGTGTTCATACCCGCTCAAAAATTGGTACAAATTTCCCACTGAGCTTATCAACAATATCTACTATGGAAGGCCTCTTTTTACGGTCAACCTCCACATACTTCAACCCAATCAGAATGCATGTTTTTACTTGGTTGAGGCCATTTGCATCTAGTGATAGGTACTTGTATATTATTTGCTCATCTGTCTTCCAGTTTTGATGTACCTACAGAATAAGGTTTAATCATTAGTGATAATGTATTAACTGAATGCATGGAAAGATTCAAAAAATAGATGTTTCAACCAAGCAATGCTGTCTTACATCGTTGACAAATTTCCTTGCAGCTCTGTCTTCAGGACCCGCATAGTTCTTCACTCCAGTTGCGATCTCAATAATAAACATGCCTAAACTATATATGTCTGACATGGTGGATATTTCGCCCCTGTATAGATATTCCGGAGCCATGTATCCACTACAACAGTTTATCAAAGAATCAAATGTCGTTTGCTTTATATAATTTGGAGGAAAATCATGTTTCACTGTTTGTTTCGACTTACTTATGTCCCTTAACATTGACTGTGTACGTTCGGGTCTTCTCTTGTCCAAAGAGTCTCGAGAGACAAAAATCGGCTATTTTTGGCACCCAATTATCATCCAACCATATGGAGTTAGGCACAAGATTCATGTGAACAAGGGAGCCGTCCAATTCCTTATTATTATGAAGGAAATGTAGACCCTGGCAGATCCCCTTAATTATTTTGAATCTTGTGTCCCAGTCAATTGAACTAATGTCCGCTGAAGAAGTACAAAGTAAAGAGAGTACTAATGAATTGTAAGTATCTAAGATAGTATTATCCAAAAGTGTGTATTGCTTACAGTAGTAGCAATAAATGAATATTGAAAAATATTTGTCTTTTGACAATAAATGAATATTGAAAAATATTTGTCTTTTGACAATAAATGAATTGCATGGTGGAGAAAGAAAGACAAGCATGTTGGATAGTTCATTACATACCATCAAGGTATTTGTCCAGACTTCCCTTAGGTAGATATTCGTAGCATAGACAGATTTCGGTCATTTCAACAATTACATATCTTCCATTATGCTGAATCACTTTCTTCTGTGCTTCATGGCAGTAGTGAACCAGCTCTACTATATTTTGGTGTTTAAGTGCCATAAGGTTTGTAACCTCAGTTGCAAATGTCATGCCAGATGGCACTGGTGCGTTTTCAGCAAGCCTCTTGACAGCAATCATGCGCCCCCCTTCTGGAAGAACCCCCTGTTTAATTAACCTCAGCTCCTCCATGGATCGTTAGTAAAACGGTTTTGTATGTAAGAGATTTTTTGAGGTGTAAATGTTAGGGTCCACTCGCACCTTATAAACTGTTCCAAAAACAGAATGACCAACTTCTCGCTCAGGAGAGAAATCACTGGTAATTTCCTTCATAAAGGTCGTCGGTAGGTTTGTTGGTAATGTACTGTCAAGAGACTCTGCTGGCTCGCCATCTCTGATAACTGAGGTAGCTATATGTATAAGACCTGCTGCAAATCAAGTCTTCTAAAACACCCAAAGAAGCAAGGAAATTTGCTCAATCGCACGTGGCAAGAACATGATTGTTCTTCTGAAACCATTCGAAAGAAACCATGCTTTTATTGCTTTTAGACTCACAAGGTGAAAAGGGGGACTGAACTGCATTTGTACATAAACAGCATAATCACAGGCACAACATTTAATTCGCACTACATTTGATTATAGTATAAGCAAACTTTTTTTACAAATAAGCAAACTCGTAGGAGAGCTAACCTGGATAAGAACACTTGAAGGATACTTGCTGCAGGGACCAACAATTGAAGGAGCACTAACCAAAGGAGGCTGAGGTTCTGAGACGGATGCCTCAATTATTGCTGCAGGCCCGTTCGGATGGTATGGTTTTGGAGGAATTTGGATGGTTTGGAGGAATTTGTGAGAGTAAAACACTGTTCCGGATGAAAAAAAGAAACGGATCAAACCAGATTTAAGGGCACGCGAACGGGGCCAATGTAGGAGTATAAAGAAAACAGAGAGAAGCTAGGTACCAACCGTGTACAAAGACAAGTTGACTTGACCAAGATGCCCAATGAGTCCGTCGACCGTAGCTCGGTTGGTGTAACACCTCGGGTGTTAGCCTTGCATAACTTGACTTGCATAACATGAGCATGAGCATCAAGCATTCATAAATCATCATTTACAATTGAAACATTTCGTCGAAACATATGAAACCTTGCTTGTTATCTCGTGTTTCTTGGAACATATGCATATGATCATGTGCAAATAAATGCAAGTGTGTAATGTTGGTCACTAAAACACCTTAGCTACACTTAGGTTAACAAAAGGAACCTTGTTCATGAAGGCCACATTTCATGATCAAGCACTTAAGTGATATTTCATGTGTTGACCAGGATAGCTATATGAGTGACTACTACATGAAATGCTTAAATGACCTTGCAAATTGTTTAAACATGCTTAGAGTATCATCATGAACAACTTTGGTATTTAGTGCTAGGGCTAGTTTGGTCATTTAGCCCTGGTTTGAATGGGTATCATGATTTCAAAGTGACATGTTGACTAAAGTTGAACTAGGTGTTAGAGACCTTGCATGGAGGAGTTCACTAAAGCAAAGTTGTAGTGTTTGACATAAGGAACAACTTTGATTTTTGGGTCTTTGACTGATTCTGCTCCTAACATGTGTGAATTTGAGTTTCAAAAATCAGTGAAATCACAATTTCTACACTTAGCAAATTTTTGCTAAGTCGTGAACACTGTCAGCCTGACAAGCCAAACTTGATCATGATTTTACTCCATTTCTGTTGAGAATTGGAGCATGATCCTTGAATGAAAGTTGAAGCTGGTACATAGGGCTAGGATTTTTGTTAAGACGGTTTATGAGTTGGAGCCACGGTTTAGCAGTTAAATCGATTGGAAAACACGCTGTCAGACATCGCGCTGCTCGTCTGAATCAACTGAATGGCGAAGGTACAGTGGCCGGCTGGCACAGAACTTTGCCGCCGCGTGTCCCCGGCGACGGCCGCGCGTCGCCAGCACTCTGTCCGCACAGGCCACGACGCGCCTGGGCGCGCCTTCATCACGCCAGCGTCCGCCCGACACCCTTCCACGCTCCATTTTTCGTTTCCTCGGCCTTCTTCCTCGCCCGCCGCTGCAGCCATTCCCGCACCAGAACCGCCAGCACCATTGCCGACGGCAGCTCGTCCTCGCTGCTCCTCCGCCACCGCAATAGCACCACCGACACCCCAGCAACTCCCGACGTCCCCCATTGCCCGCTGTTCAAGCTCGGTAAGCCTTGGCAGCAAGCCCTGCGCTTTCTTGGGAGCTCGCCGCCGTGGTCCGTCATCGTGGCCACGCCGTTGTAGTCTACCTTTCCGCATGATAGCTGGTGCGCTAGGTCCGCCGTAGTACCCTGGTGCTCGTCCGAGCCTTAGATCGGGACACCGAGGTCGTCACCGGCGTTTTGCCGTGGTCCTGCCCCGCCGTTCCGCCATGGTCGCCGCCGTCAGCTCTAGGGTCGGCAATAGGACCGGCCAAGTGGCTCAATCGCTTCGCTAGGTCACGTAGGTCGTGTAGTGAAGACGTTACCGCCGGCAAAGCTCGCCGTCGACGAGCCGCAGCCACGCAGTGCCCAGCAGCACCGCTGCTCTGCTCCGTGTCACCGACGCGTGGGGTCCCCTGACCAGCGGGTCCCACCGGTCAGCGACAGCTGTGTTGTAGGCTAGTTCAAATGTTCCAGTTTTTGATTTGTTTTGCGAATTTTGTATCATCAGTTTGGGAGCTCCTAAAATTGTGAAATAAATATGGTTGTGTTCCTTAGGAAGTGTAGTATTTAAGAAAAATATATTCTTGGTTTCAACAGTACAAATTTCTGGAGATTTAAATAGGGATTTGAAATGTGCTTTTGAATATATTCAAATTTGTTTATTTTATATCTAGAGTTCCTGTGCTCCAAAAATTATGAAATTTTTGTGGTGAACTAATCTTAGCATACGTGAGCCCTGGTAAAAATTTGAGGACCAGTGCATGGATAGATTTAAAGTTATAGATTTTTCTTTTATGACTAGTTAATCCTTGCATGAATTTTCATAAATTAAGTATGAGTCCAAAATTCATGAAATTTGTTGGAGGTAATCCTAGTACCATATGGATGCTAAGAAAAATATGAAATCTGTTGCTTGACACTTTTCAATAGGATTTTCCATTTATGCTATTTCAAGCCTTGCTGCCTTATCATTTTTGTATAGAATGTTCTACTTAGTAAAATGACCTGAAATTTTTATAGCAGTCCTTTGATAGCATTAGTAAGGCTCTGTAAATTTTTGAGAAATTATGAAGCACATCTGATATATATTTATTATTTAACCTAGATATCTAAATAAAATAATAAAGGCAATTTAAATAATTAGTTTGGGCTTCACCATTATATTTTCTTAAATGTATTTGGTATGCTTAAACTGTTGGTAGGCTTTGTATGATAAGACTTTGAATACTTATATGAAGTGGAGGTATCGTTACTTTATAATGCGAATTGGAATAGTTTCTGGATAAATTCTAGAGTGTGATGAGTTGCATGTTGAAACTGATGTATACTGTAAAAATGGTTAATAACAAAGCTGTAGAGAATTTGATAAGCTTTACAGAAAGTCCTAGATCACTATTTTTGGATTTGTAGAACTCCGGTTATGAGTGAAACAAGTAGCTACTGTTTGTGGCATAGTCGATGCATTATAGAAGTAGTTAAGTAATAATCGAGAAGAGATATGCACCTACCCAAACAACGTGATGCACTTGTTAACATATATGCATTCGTAATACTTATACCATACTCATGCATCTAGGATCGGAGGAAGAGATCACGTTCTTGGAATTGAAGAAGCGGAGGAAGGGAACCCGCGGGAGGATCCATAGCCGCAGCCTCCGAAGGCGTGGAGCGAACCTGAAGAGCTTCCGAGTGCCCGACCATCGCCCTACTTCCTTTACTGCGAGGCAAGCCCGGAGCATTATAAGTCTCCCAATAATTTACAAATGTTTACTTACGTATTTATGATTGATGCATTATGTTATAAGAGTTGAATGAAACCACTTGATGCATGTACATTCCTTGTCCAAATATTACACCAGAATCGATATAGGTCCGAGGATCGAATATATATGCTTAGCCATGCTTAGACCGGTAGAAGTCGGGTGATGTCCTGTCACTGCGAGATATAGATGGATCTTAGAGCACGGTTGGCTATATCTCGCTATCGTGGAACTGAACCATGTGGTAAAAGTAAATCGAGACCGAACGGGAAGTAGATAGAGAAGCAACAAGACATGGAGGTCTTGGGTGTGGATTTATCCCCGTCTATGTCGATTAAGGACCGTACCGTTGTTGGTGCTTCTGACAAGATTGAACGCATGCCTCTCACTTAGCTGGCCGGATAATTCGTTCCGACCGCGAAGCCGAGTAATTCAACTCAGGCCAGGAATCATTCTGTTGTGCGCTCCTTCCGGGGAACGATCAGACTGAGCCCAAGGGCAGGCTTGGCCTGAGCATCCTGGCATCTGGTGTTCCAGATTGTGCGGCGCAGTACGGACCCACGAAATGTGTACCGGAGTTGTACCAAAGGTGACCTAAGGCTATCGTGGCTGGTAGACCTGGGTTTGTGATAGGAATAAATTCCCAGCTGGTTGAAATCGATTCGAATCGCCGTCTCTCCCGGATAGTGAGAAACTTGGCTAGTCCCAACATCGTAGTAATTGTGTTATGGAACATGATGGTTCGGACGAAAAATGGAATTTCAATACCTGCTATGGTTACTATTGTATGCTTCTAATGGATGTACCACATGTTTGGCACAGGATAGTTGCTAACCTAGAAATGAATAGTTATAATTAACTTGGTAAAGAATTAGTAACTGTACCATGATTTAATTGCTTTTACGCAAAAATGTTGTCAAGTTACGTCCACTTATACAGCCTTGCATAATCCTTGGAGTCATTTTATTTTCTGGTTCATGACGGGTAAGTCTAGCTGAGTACCTTCTCGTACTCAGGGTTTATTTTCCCAATGTTGCAGATGGCACTGTGTATCATGGTTATTGCAAGAGTTGCTTCTATCCCGCTGTGGATGAGGAGTAAGCCTTGGGCAGGCTTCTTTAGTAATTCCTATCCTTGCTTTTGTGGACCGTGATCTAGCTTGGCACTGTATCAAACTATGTTGGAAACTTTATCTTCGAACTTATTTGCTTCCGCTTTATTTATCAAACTCGGTTTGT